GGCCTTTTGATTTGCCATCAACACCGAGATTTTTTTAGTCTCACGATGTTAAACATTTAGGTGCCCGGCTCTCTAGCGTAGTTGGCTAAACCGGATTGTGCGGAGACCGGGTGACGAACTCCTTGTGGTCCGGGTTCAATCCCGCGGGTAGGCAGAAAAGCCACTTTTCTCCCAGATTTACGGTATTTACAATGGAATCAAGTCCGAAAGGTTACGATATCCATATTACTGAGCCTAAGGGTTAACAACTCATGGCTTCTGGATACTAAAACAAACAAACAAACAAACATTTAGGGCTTTTTAATCTGCCATCAACACTGAGAGTGTTCAGTCTCACAATGTTAAACATTTAGGGCCTTTTGATCTGCCATCAACACTGAGAGTGTTTAATCTCACGATGTTAAACATTCAGGACTTTTTGGTCTGCCATTCAGAAGGAGGGATGCGGAAAAACGGAACAACATTTACTTCAGGCAGAGATGTTGTTTCTGAGATGACTGCAAAGAATATCACGGAACGATAGAAAAACAACAGAAGCAATACTCATCGAGACAGATGAAATTGTAAACTTATTACAACAATTAGACATAAGATGTCAACATTTTTGTTTTGTGGACATGTTATCTTCTTCTTCTTCGTGGTCACCAGCTGTAAACTCTGGCGGAAAGTTCTGGTTATTTATCCACTTCTGGACTGCAGTCCTGTTCCAAAACCTGAGTGTTGCGTGTGCATCTGTTTTACAGATCTGACTCTGTGTGCAGACTGCTGGTTCCTTGCCTCTCAGGCAGATGCACTCCGACTTAGAAGGAAGCTCCCAATTAGTCGACTCTTACGAAATGCTTTTGGGTAGGCAGTGGGTCTGTTCTTGTTTTCCCTGTAATAGGGCCCGGGAATCCACACAGGGATGAACATGTTATGAAAAGCAAGGGACTTGACAACTTGGTAACAACTGGCAAGACAGATGGAAAGAGAGCCAGAGGAAGCAGCAACTAGCCGGGATAGCCTGGCCAGATGGAAAGAGAGCCAGAGGAAGCAGCAAATGGCCGGGATAGCCTGGCCAGATGGAAAGAGAGCCAGAGGAAGCAGCAAATGGCCGGGATAGCCTGGCCAGATGGAAAGAGAGCCAGAGGAAGCAGCAAATGGCCGGGATAGCCTGGCCAGATGGAAAGAGAGCCAGAGGAAGCAGCAAATAGCCGGGATAGCCTGGCCAGATGGATAGGGCAAAAAAAAAAAACATTGAACTAATTCTGGTGATCATGTAAGATGGTGAAACATGACAACCTACGTTTACCAGCACGACACTTGATCATGATGACGATGGATGATGATGCTGAGGAGAAATGGGTTAAGAAGAAATTTTCCGCAGCGTCTACCACCTGAACTTGGTCACGCCGCTGTCGATAAGTACAGGCTGTCATGGCTGGTCACCAGAAACCACCGGCCAGGTTTGAGTGTGTCACTCAGAAAATGTCATGTGGTGAAGCTGTTCTCGTGTGGTCCAGTGTTACTTTGTGGTGCAGAAGGGAAAATCAGCGGTTGAAACCGGTGTCTACTTATATTTGTTTGGTAGCCGTCTCCAGTCAAACATTTGGTTTATGTTGAAAAAAAAAAAACCTGTTCGCCTAATTCAATGATTAGTGGCTTAGATTCATACACACACACATAGAGAGAGAGAAAGAGAGAGAGAGAAAGAATATAAATTTGCAAGGTTGACCTTTGCGAATCCTTTTTTACGTCATGAAACTGTTGTCAACACCATGCTGATCCCACACAGTGATACCTCGACTAACAAACTTCATCGTTCCTGACTGTGGTTCACATCTCAAAACCCAGTTTCCCGTGACAACTTATGGGAAATCATGTAATCTGTTTCAGAAAAACTGCCCGGTAACCCAAGCTCTGCTGTTACTTTTCCACATACAGTTGTGTTTGTTTCTGTTAACTCTATGCTATTTAAAAACTCTTGAATTCTCAGAGGAATCAACCAAAAGAGCTTTTGTCTTCAGATCATCACTGGCATTGGCACAGAACAGGAAAAATAGTCTCTCTTTCATCCTCTTGAGTCGTCCTTCCTAAAAAAGGCTCCCTTTGTCATTTTCTACTAGAAAAGCAGTTTCATCACAGCTCATAACTGTTGTGATCTGTTACACTCTGACTTCACTGGTTTCCAAAATACCTTCATTAACTTCATTTTTTTTTGTTCCAGCCCTAACATCTTCTCCGTGTCTATCAGCTATCAGGGATACCGGTTCTATTCTTAAATTTCTCAGGCCATCCTTTGCTAGCTTCAAACTCTTCACTGAAGTCTTTGGTACTGGTAGTAAATGTCAAGTTATTCGATAAATCATTGTAAACAGTCAGAGCTTTTGAACAGATAATATTTTGAGATATATTATCTGCTTTTAGTGGAATGCCATTAACCCATATATCTAGTAAAGTTTTTATTTCATCCAAAACTTTATTTCTTCGAGATAACACAATTGACACCTCTTTGGCCACATCAAGTTCTTTAAAAAAATCTGCTTTTTTGAGAAATGTAGCTATAGTGGACTTGGACAAGTTATAATGCTTGCACAAGTCAGTTTGCCTGACTCCTGTCTTATATTTTTTCCACAATCTTTTTCTTCATTTCTATTGTGATTTTCTTCTTTCTTTGTTCATTATGGGCAGGGAGAATAGACCCACTGCCTCCCTAATAAGTAGGTCGTAAGGGGAGACTAATTAGGGTTTCTTTTAAAGTCGGTGTGCATCTGCCTGAAAGGCAAGGCACCAACACCCTGCATACAAATAAGCCAAATCTGTAAATAGGATGTAAATGCAACATTCAATTTCTGGAACAAGACTAAAGTCCAGAAATGGATGAACGACCTGAACTTTCCACAGAAGTTTACAGCCGCTGAATGCGGAGGACAGTGGAAAAAACATTTAAATGTTGTTGTTTTTTCGGCAACATTTTCTGTAAACAGCCAAGCTTTATCCATGACTATTTTATATTACTATTTTATTCATTTGAATCAAGGGTCTTGTAACATTTCTATGTTCTTCATAACATGGTTTTACACTTTACTTTTTTTTACTTGTGTACATGTATTAATACAGTTCCTTTATGAGCTTGACTATGTTTTTTATTTTATCCTACAAATTGACAGCACAATAATGTCTTTAAAACACTGGACTCATCTAACTGCTTGCAGACGAATAATCTTTTGTTAATTATGACATTATATTTGGTGTCTTTATATTCACTGGCAACTTTATTTAGTCTTTCTGACATAAAATGTCTTCAAGTTATTGACATATTTAGTGTCACAAGAACACTCACACACAACATATATAACTCTAAAACATTGGTACATAAAAGCCTTCCATAGGGTGACCATAAGTCCCTTCTTGACGGGACAGAATCAATTTTAGGTATTGTCCACACACACACAAAAAGGACTTGAAAAAAAGCAATATAACACAGATAACTAATAAACTGTTTAAAAATGTATTTATCTACATTTTTAAAAATGTATGTTTCGAAATATATAAAGATATATTAAGTGTAATCAGTAAACAAGAACAGACTGAAGCATTACACAACATGCATTCCCTGTGGCTTCAAGCAAATATGTTTGGGGTGACTCATGTTGTGACCCTGTGACCTCTATCAGTGATGCTTACAGGGACATTTTAAAGTTAACCTGGCTTTAAAATAGCTATTGGTTTTACAAGGAAACCATTCTAAATGCTATATTTAGTTAATATATTCACATCCAGGCCTGCTAAGCACTATGCAGGTGCAAACAGAACCAGTGGCATTTTTCTATGCTTTGCAAGAACAGGTCAGACAGAAATTGCAATATATCAACATTTACATGGCTGTGTAACAACTGGAAGTGACATGATTTAGCCTTTTTGGGGGTGATAAGGCTAATTCTGCATATTACTAATGGTAATATGTGATTCCTGTCATGTGATTCCTGTCATGTGATTATATCAATGCTGAAGGTGAGGTGTGATTTTCATCATGTGGTATGTTAGGTATTGGTAGTGACATGTGAATCACTTGGTGGGGTGTACTACAGGACTTGTGCTGGCAAATCGTGTCCTTGATGTGGTATATTTGTTTGTTCAACAGTAGCCAATAAAGTACACTGATCAATGACACAACACTGAGGTGACATGAGTATTGCATATATATATATATGGTGCAATACTCTGTAGATGAATGTGGTAGATTTACAGTATAAATAATGAATGCCTTACATATTACAGTACTGACTATTCATAACTGGTAGCACAATGTGACAAGCACAGTACACAATGTGATGAGCACAGAGCACCCGTGACAAACGCAGTACACAATGTGACGAGCACAGTGCACATGTGACAAGCACAGTACATGATGTGATGAGCACAGAGCACACGTGACAAATACAGTACACAATGTGATTAGCACAGTGCACACGTGAGAAGCACAGTACACAATGTTATGAGCACGGTACACAATGTGACGAGCACAGTGCACACATGACAAGCACAGTACACAATGTGACAAGCTCGGTGCACACATGACAAGCACAGTACACAATGAGACAAGCACAGTGGTCATGGATGTGCATCTGAGAAATTATTCAGCAAGATTTTGTACTCAGGTTGCCTATTTGTACATGGCAACCGATTTTCTTAATGCCTGGACTAATGCAGCCCTCTGGTGTAAAATATTTACACTATATCAGTAGTTAAATTTGTTGTCATACTGCAGCGGTTCATAATTCCCAGGTGCCTGGTCCAGTTGTAACTGCAGGGGGTGTGGCAGCAAACACCTGTGGTCGGTGCTGTCAGCTGTATCAAGATCCAACCGTTCAGAAAGCAGGTGACTGTATCAAGATCCAACCATTCAGAAAGCAGGTGTAAACCACTGAAGGTAAAACCGCATAGTAAAATCACAGCCACCAAATGCTGCGGTTGGTTCTGCAACTTTCTGTACAGCCCAAAACAACTAACATTTTGTTTCATACTGCAGGCAGATATAACCCAGGATTGTCCACAGTCAGAGAATCATTGTCATCTTCAGCTATTCTGTCCAACTCTAAGTTCTTGCCTCCACCACTTTCATAGCGAGCCATCTGCTCCCAGCACTCCTCCTTGACTCGAGTCAACAGGCGTTGAAGTTCTCTGTTCTTGGGTGCCAGTTGGAGAGCTTCCACCAGGTCCTGCTGTGCAGCAGCATACTGCCTGTCAAACAGAATTTAGAGAACGATTATTGAACTTGAGACTTAATTATGCCAGGACTTTTCTGGAGGACAAATTGATAACAAAAATTTATATGGACGGAGCTGCAGTGAGGTTTGACTGTGTAACTTAGTGTAATGGCTGTGAAGTTTGATGGTGTACTCTGATAGCTAGTCTTTCCAGATATAAACAAAATATAGGAATGACATACACTAAAGTTGTATTGCATTTAGAAGATTGTAAGGCACTTGGCCTGTCAAAACTGTTTGGCTAGTGGGATCCAATCATGGGTAGATAATGTTTCTTATGCTAGGAAGAAATGTAGAGGGAATTAGCCTGTTGGCTAATGTGGAGCAACTGGCAAGCGGTGCACACATGTGAGAAGAAACATAGACAGAGTGGACATTATCAATGCTGTACGGCCTAGATTAGGGGATAATGATGAATCTCTGACACTTAATGTGATTACGTAACATGGGAATAAAGCATGGTGAAGCATATCTATGCCATCTTCTGGGCCAAGATACAGTTATTTTAACCAGCTCTTATTGTGTCTTCTTCTATTTCTCTTTCCATATAATTTTCATTTGTCACATGTTCCACTTTTTCTCTTCTCATTATGTGGCCAAAGAATGATCACCTATCTTTCTGATGTCACTAGCTATCCATATCTCAGCATCTTTTTTTCTCTCCTTCCATCATATTTTTCAATTCTGGAAATCTTTGATGCATCCAGTTTATGAGCAGACGACAGTTCGGCAGTCGATGCACATACCAGAAGTTAGCACTGAGCAGGTACCTGACACTGTATTGTGGAAAACTGGAAGACACCAGAATAGTGCTCTGACAACTAACTACAAATAAATACAAAGTAAAATTGAAAAAAAAAAAAAAATACTGTGCCATCTCCACATTGAAGGTTGGGTACAGTGTACCACTGCCATCTTTAGGAAAAATTACCAGGTGAGGCCTTAATCTCTTCACAGCACTACACTAGTCTCTTTCAGAAAAACGCCCACAAAAATGGTTTCCAGTAAAGTTAAAAATATTATGAAAACAGAATTGGATTTGGGGGGGGGGGGGGGGTGTCTGGGGTGAGTGGTAGGGTGTTTTCAGCTTTCTCGACCATACATTTACGGTAGAGCTGCCAGATTTTGAATGCTGTTCCTTCCTGGGAAATTCTGAGATTTCGTAGCCATTTTTATTAATCTGGTTCAACCTCAGATCCATATTCATCATCATCATGATCCTTCCACATGGCAGCTTCTTGGTTCATATTTGAAGAAAAAGAATACAGATAATTGTTTTGGGAGGTAAGGGCAGTAACCACTTGTCACCGTGACTCAGGTTGTATATGGACAAACGTTTTCAAGACCTCCCTCACCTGTTGTCTCTCCTAGCTCTGGCTCTAGCATAATATGCCTCAAAACATTTGGGCCTCAATTCCATGGCCTTGGTGGCTAAATCAATAGCACACTGTGGCTCCTTTATGGAAAGAAAGAACAAGTAGAAAAAAAAAATATTAAAATGTAAGCTACATTCATCATCATAAACATAAATTTTTGTCTTCACAGTTCAGGCTTATGGTAATGCAAATCTAACAGTTCTGATCCTAACAAGTTTAGTCATCCCTTTAAGGTTTGCAATTTTTTGTTTTTTGAAACCCTACTCTGGCTCTTGTCAGGGGCCGTAATATAGCCCAGCTATAAATATGGTCTAAAGGCTGAACACGGTTTCTGAGACCTCTCCACGGGTGATCCTCATCCAAGTGGTGGCACTTTGTGTCATCAGGTGTTTATCGCTTGTGTGATGTCCTGGTGGGGTAAAAGAAGAGAGAGAAAAGTTTTTATCCTAAAGTTTCATTGTACCTGTTCTAATAGGCTGCCTTGATGTTGTCCAACCATTTGTACTTTGATGATGTTGTCCATTTACAATTTGATGTTGTCTATCCATTTATATCTAATTCTTTTACCATCAGCTGCTCCCTCTTTGTAGTGAGTCATTTTCTCCCCATTAATTTATGCCCGACAGATGACGTCAGTAATAAATGTAAGGGGGATGTTTTTGACTGACTGAGATAACACGAGATTTGTGTCTTGAGTTTCATGAGAGACATCTGAAAGTCAGGTTTTATGTGAAACATGATTGTTCACGTGAACCATGAAGGTTGACTGGCAGGCTTCGTGTGAAATGTGAATTATCACGGGCCAGACACGACTTTCAACGGTGGGGAATTCGTGAGAATGAAATTATACAGAATATTCGAGACGAACATGACAGAGATCAGAGGGCTATATAATAGCGGAGAAAGGATTGAGAGGCAGTCTCGTTTGGACCCAGGAACAGTGTGCATGGACAGCGGTGGATGATGTGTGGATTCAGCAGATGTTTTTTGAGTGAATTTGTTCCAGTCCAACTTGGCGAAAAAAGCTGGCCAGTAATATGTCTGCAGGTCGTCTGAGTTTGTCTGTCAGGACAGCTGTTGTGTTTCGTTCACGATGTTAGTGTAGGGCGATTGTGATTTCTGCTTGAAGGTAATATTTGATACTTGCGTTATAATGTGTGCCTGGACAGTTGTCTAGTTCATGTGCCGGCTGTGTAAGATTAAAGTGCTGGAACAGTATCGTGTTGTTTTCCCAGTCGTCCATTTTCTGCTCGTTGTGTGATGTCGGTTTTATGAGATGGCAGCGAGCGTGCGATGGTGCGAGCCAGTAGAAGATAAAAGAAAGTCATCGCACTCTTTGAAAGTTTCAGTGTAATATAGTGTAATCTATAACACATGTCATTAGACGTATCTAAAGAGGTTTAAACTGAGACCAGCAACATGATCCAATAGAAAACTTTCAGCTGAAGAATCAAACCAGTCACGAACAAGTATATTACTGTCTCGTTGTGGGTTGTATACTCCATTTAAGAGTGGAAATGCAGAAAAGACGATTAATGTTTTTTTTTCTACTTCAGTTACTCTTTGACTGCTTTGTTGAAAAAGACATAAGGTTCTGCTTCTTGTTTTTTTATCTGCCTCAATCGTAACCTAGATACTTTGTACTGTTGTTGAGTTTCGTAGTTATCTTACCATCTTACTTTTGTTGTTGTTGTTGTCTACTTCATGCTCTACAACTCTCTCCTCTTTTTAGTGTGTGCCTTGTGGTGGAAGTGAATAAAGGACTTTATTCTTCAGTTCTGTGTGTTTTGTTTTCATCTTCAGCAGTTTAATTTTGCATTGAGCTGTTCTAAAGCTTCCTCCTTTGTGCTCCTTCCTCCCCCCTCCAAGCAAACCAAGTTGGGGAATTCCCCCAGCATTCGACTAATATACTGAGGGATTCCTCCATCTGTCTTTTGTTGTTTAACCAAGTTTCCTTGCTGACAAAAAGATAGATGACCTATGCACAATGAAGTGCTATGATAACAATGTATAATAACTGGAAAGATCAGTGGTAGCAAAGGCAGATAAATTATATGGATGGTCTCCCAATATGGAGTTCAGGGAAAGTGGGGGGTTGGGGGGGGGGGGGGGTGGAAGGGGGGGGGGGGGGGGGGGGGGGGGGGGTACAGAGCCACTTTCCCTTAACAAGTATGTAATAAATTGCTAAAATTAGATGTGCTGGGACAAAGCACAGATACTGAAGCATAAATTTAAATCACACAACACTGTGCCAACCACAAATGTAATGGTGAATGCAGAAGAAAAAGAGGTGGATGGTCTAAGAGAGTAGTACTGAGATTACCATTTGACAGAACTGATCTGGAACACCAAGGAAGGAGATCTGTGAAGAGACATGCATGCTTGCATATTTCCATCTGGCAAGACACTTAATGATGCTGTAAAATTGTGCGTATACACTGGAGTGTGATTTCTGCCTCTGACCCAGTCTCTGACCCAGTCATGCTCAGCACATACTATGGCTAGACTATTTAACTGGTGGCCCATCGGCCAAATCTGGCCAGCAGAAGCCTAGCAAGTGTCCCGCGGATCATTGCCAACTGTACTGTATTAGTGATCTTTCTAGTGATCTCCCCCTGACACTTCGATGAGGTACAAGGTGGAAGAGAAGAGGAAGAAGATCCTTCTATGTTGGGACTTGGATCTCTGGCCTGAGATGATCTTTATATTCAACTTTTTGGTCCCTGAGTAAACTTACCTGTATAACCATATTTTAGGGAGTGTATTTTTATGAAACGGGAATGGATAGGCATTTTAAGCTGTTTTTACATAACTAGATGAAACTGTAGGTACGTTAAAGATACTTCTATCTGTCACAAAGGTATACAGCAAAGCAGATGCTTAGATAAAATGGATAGGGTTCTTGAAAACATATAAGAGATAATAACAATAATATATATATTTTTTTAAAATAAGAAAACCAAAAAATACACCCTCTGACAAAGATTTTTTGTGAAAATACAAACTACCCATATGTAGACACATAAAAGCGCACATGCCTGGCTGAGTTAAAATATATATATATATATATATTATTATATTTATGTTTAACTTATCTGGGGAGAAAAATCAGGCATACAATTGTCTCTGAAAATGGAGAACACTCACATTCATCCTGCGTTTACACCTGGACAAATTCAAGAGAAAACTGAGTTTTAATTCTTGAAAAGTCTGAACCTCCTCTGGTCTTACAGTTGTGGGCAGTTTTTTCAGAGCATACTGGTATCTTTGGCTTGCTTCCTTGATCCGATTTTTCTAGTTTAACAAAAATTGTAAATTCGAAATAATAAATTTACTTTCAACATCAAAAAAAAAAAAATTTTTGCAAACAATAGTAGTTTTACAAAAAACAAAAAAAAAGAACTAGCATTCAGTATAACATAAAACAAGAAAGTATGTTAAAACCCTGTGGACTACAAGCACGAGGTATGTATATGCATAACTCTGCGCATACCTCTGATCAAATAAAGAAAGTCAGAGGCCATGTAAATAATATATTCTATTTCTGAAAAAAGTAGGAAAATATAAGTGTCAATAAATAAACATTATTTAATAATAATGAGCAGTAATTTAAATCTATATTGAGGCAGATTTTTGTCTCCAAAACTGACCTTGATTTTAAGGTCAACCTGTATACCAACTAATGTCCTGGAAAGTATGGCAGCCGACTGTATTTTGATCACATCGCCTATCAAGTGCTGATTGATCTATGAAATATAGGTTTAGCCAGTGGCGTATCAAGGGCATGGTAGGCAGGGCAGATGTAAGGGCACAAAACCTCAATTTGTGTTCATTCTTTAAGTGGCCCTTTCATCTGCAGAGAGCACAATGAGTTTTTTTTTGTTGAAGGTTAGAAGAGCATCATCATCATCATCTAGCAGCTCCTTTACAGATCGTTGCTCTCATCCCGGTCTGCCTGAAAGACACCCAGTCTCTCGCCAGCTCTCCCACCTCATGCACTTTCATACTCAAGTAGCCACTTATATCCTGTGCCCATCTTCGTGTTGTTCAGCCCCTGCCACTCCTTCCTAGTATCATGCTTTCTGCTATTATTTTTTCTAATCAAAATATTTCAGCCTCCGAGACAAGATGCTGTTTATTAGCCAATCTTCTTTGATGTTCAGATCTTTCAAGATGTCAGTATTTCTCCTCTTCTTTGTCTAAGATATTCTGAAAATTTTTCTATAGCATTTCAGCTCAAAAGCCCCTATTCTCTTTCTTCAGGAAGGGCATCACCCTACAAAAATATAAACACTCACGCCTGATTAGCTCTGCTTCTTCTCAAAGTCCATGCCCTGTGGCACTGATAGTCCTGGTTATCCACAACTTTCTGTCTCATGTACTTTCAGTCAATTCTGACAAAGGTGATCTTCCATGCCATGATGTCAAACTGTCCTGCATCTTCTCTCTGTATCCCTCTGCCTCTTTATCCTACAATTTACTGTCATGACGTACTCCAATAGTCTCCATTTCATCACATGACTAAAGAATGTAGATTGTCTCCTTCTGATGTGGGCAATCAGTTGTTCTCTTCATGAGTCAGTTTCTTTCAAGCTATCTCTCTTTTTATCTGTCTAGCTATTGTCTATAAAACCACATCTCTGCTACTTCCAAATAATTTTCACCAATTGTCCAATTTTCATGATTCACTTCTGTACATCAGGGTAGGATATATAATATTATCATCATCATCATGTAGCAGATCCTTGGCAGAATGTCGCTCTCATCACAGTCAGCCTTAACAAAAATCTCTTCCCTCGCCAGCTATCTCATCTTGTGCGCTTTCATATTCAAGGAGTCGCTTCAATCATGTGTCAGTCTTTGTGTTGGTTAACCCCTAACCCTAACCCCTAACCCTAACCCTAACAACTAACCCTAACCCTAACCCCTAACCCTAACCCCTAACCCCAACCCCTACCCCTAACCCTAACCCCTAACCCTCCATCCTGGTAGACATCTTCTGCTATTAATGTGTTCCCAGTCAGCCGTGGCATCTGATATGGCCAAAATATTTCAGTATCCGAGGATTTAAATTTCTCTTGAAAATTCTCTTTCTCGTCTCATTTGATCAAGAAAATTTGCATAGAATAGTTTTAATTTTGTATAGCTGTGTTTGCTTGAGCTTTTCTAAATTTAACTTCTTGAATACATCTTCCATCTGATGTTATTGGGATGTCCAAGTTGCTAGAGGATTTAACTTTTATGCTGCATTTTGGAGGATTTGTTTTATTTTTTACCATTACTTCTATTTTTCTGCTATTCAGACTAAGACTCTTGTTTTGACTTTCTGTTACAATTATGTACATTATTTCTTGCAGCTGTGTTTCATTTTCAGTGACCAAAATTATATCGTCAGCATATTGCAGGCTGTTAACAATATGCTCACTAATATTCTTGGCAATACACTGTATGGATCTAATTATTCTTTTATTGTATAAATTGAATAAATCTGGTGATAGTCCCTGTCTAATGCCTTGTTTAATGTTTTGAAAAGTTCCAACTTGGTTGACAATTCTTATGGCTGCTTTTTGTTGCCAGTGTATGTTTTTTTTTAAAATTATTCTTAGGTTTTGACCATCCAGGGTTTAAGGTAATTTTGTTACTTACTGTCATAGTTCCTGGTATTCACAACATTAATCATAGAAACTACACCTGGATTACTCCAAACACTGGTCTAATGAAGAGCTCTGATATAATCGATTTAAACTAATTTGTGTAGTTTGTTGTAACAGGCATGCACATACAACCCTGGATCATCCACAGTCAGAAAATCATTGTCATCTTTAGGTACTCTCTCCATCTCTAAGTTAGCTGTTTCCCTTCCTCTGTCACTTTCACACTGAGCCATCTGCTTCATGCTCTAGCCGTATGAAAGATGGTGTCAACGTTCCTTCGTTTTTTCCGCTCTGTACTTTGACTTTCCAAAACACACTGCCATGCAGCAGACAGATTCAACATGTCAATACCATTGCAAAAATACTGTAATGAAAACAAGCAAGGAACAACGTATCTAATGGTTATCATAATAAGAATTCTGCCCAAATCTCAAATGAGAAAATAGTTACCTTGTAGAGAATGCAGCCATCTTCTGTTAACTTATTCAGCAGTAACAACAAAACATCCATTTTTTCAGCAGCCAGGGCCCAGGTGTGTGGACCTAATAAAATATAATGAAACAGTCAAAATACAAGCAGATTAATTTTTATATATATATTGTCATTACCATTTATTCAGAGATGAAAGATAATTTGAATTTAATAGTTCACAAAAAACACTCCCTGCACTGGTTCCTGGAGGTTGGGGGAGGGGGGGGGGGGGGGGGGGATAAAATATCGACTTATTAGGCATGTTTCCTTCAAAGTCTGAGTGCATCTGCCTAAGAGAGGACAACCAACAGTCTGCATACAAATAAGCCAGATCTGTAAAATGGATGTGCACACTGAACACAAGTTCTAGAACAAGACCAAAGTCCAAAAGTGGAAAAACAAACAGAACTTTCTACTGGAGTTTACAGATGGTGAACACTACAAGGAAAAACAAACAGAACTTTCTACTGGAGTTTACAGATGGTGAACGCCACAAGGAAAAACAAACAGAAATTTCTACTGGAGTTTACAGATGGTGAACACTACAAGGAAAAACAAACAGAACTTTCTACTGGAGTTTACAGATGGTGAACACTACAAGGAAAAACAAACAGAACTTTCTACTGGAGTTTACAGAAGTGAATGCTACAAGGAAAAAAATCACAAAATTTTGCACAATTTATTGTATGGTTTTTTATTGCCAGGCAATAAATTGTGCATTATATTATTTGTATCCTTATTATTTAAATTCGTAATTGGGGAACTGCGTTTTGAGTTTTAAAAAGTAATAATCAAACAATGAGGTGTTAAATTAAAACCAACCTAATTTTGCGCCTTTTCTCAGAAAGCAGATGATGACGGCCATGTTGTTATAGAAAATGGCACAATCCAGGGCCCGCATGCCGTTGAGGTCAGTGTGTTCAATCTGAGCCTTGTGATCTATCAGGAACTGCACCTGCAAATACATAAATATTATATACATATTATATGTATGTAGTGCAGCTACAAGACGGATCAAAAGAAAGTGTGAAAAAATCTAATTTAGCTTTAAAATTGGAAGAAGAAAAAATGTCTTTTAACTATTTCTATCCAAAAGTTGTTAATAAACCATTTCTTGTGCAAGGATTGAATTTTAAAGTTTTAAAGCTTTGATTATTGAGAAGTTACAACAAAGAAAGTTGAAATATAGACTTAGCGGTAACTGATTAAAGGCATTCAGAAAAACCAACCTCAGTTCCTAATATGCTAAGATGGATAATGTTAGCATAAGAAAGTAACACTAATAACAATTCTAAGACAGAGAAGATGGTGCTATATTGAACACATGCTGGAAAGAGACAACAGAGAATCACCAAACACGGGAAAGAGAGGGATTGAGGAAATAAGGACCTCCAGGAGAAACCCTAAGGTGAACACTGATGAAAGAGGCCAAAGGTACTGGACTGGATTCCATCCATGGTAACAATGATTGTATTGGACAGAATGGAATTGATAAACAGACTGAAAGCCCTATGTGACATGTAATGGCACAACAAGAAAATTAAAGTAATTAACAATACACTATAAAACAAATATTCTGTATGAAAATAAAAGCCACACAAGACAATCTAACAAACTGGTTACTGGGAAAACAAATGCCTAGTGAAATTTTATACTTTGTTATTTTAGACTTAATGTTGACATGTTTACATTCTGGCCGGTTCTGCACCACTTGGTGGTAAACTAATGTATGACAAGCTGGATGTTGTGAGGGCCCTTTGGGAGCGAGTAAACAGTGCCGAGGAGCAGACAGATCATTGCGGTCTGAGGAGAATGGCACTGCGAGGAGTTACCAGGGGATCTGGCCATTGCTCAATGCTCAGAGGAAAGGCGAGACAGATATATAATCAGACAGTTACTGGTACCATCGAATTCTATCTCTTCGTGTCCTGCTGAAGATGGGAAAGGGGCACTTATGGGGGTGTCCTGGGTGCTGTGATGTTGATTCTTAATTCAACATTTATGTTTACATTATTTCAATAACATATACACTTCTTTTTTTGGGGACCTGTTCTGACTATAAAAGCCAGATTGTGAAGAGTTATCTGGTATATAGGCCATGAAAACCAGCATCTACACAGCACACATCAAGGCTTGCCCCAAGTAGCTCTTCAAAACCTGGAGTTGAGAAAAGAGAAAGAAGTAATTTATTGTTATTTTAAAAAATACACTACCTTGACCTAATTGGAAGAAAATGTTGGAACAGTTACTTACAACACTGACATCACCGTACATGGCTGCCAGGTGTAAGGGACTACGGCCATTCACATCAGAATGGTTGACATTGGATCCATGGTTTACCAGTAACTCCACAACTGGCAGGTGTCCTTGCAAACATGCCCAGCATAAAGCGGTCAATCCTTGCTTGTCTGTGGTCATCTGGTTAGCACCTGAAGACATTTTATAACCAGATTTGAACAAGATGAAATAGTATCCAAGAGACAGGGGGAAGTAACTGAGAACTGTCGGCCAGAACATTATCAAAGAAGACAGAGAGGGAGGCAGACTATGTCCGTACTCAAAGCCTTTACTAAAACAAAGACAGTAACAAAGAAAGACAGAAAGAGAACAAGTTTGTATAAGAGAACAATGAAAATATCTAATAAATCTGCTCTCTCTACCTCTTATCTTTCATATACTGAGAATATATAATTAACACTGACTGTTTAAATTAATTTAATCATCATTACAATAATATAAGCTTAGTAAAAACTTACATGCAACAAATTGTTAAGTATGTAAATAAGATATGGTCAAAAATATATACATCATACACCCATGGACCCTCACAGACGAAAGCTTTCAGTTGTGAAGATGTCAGCTCAACACAAGAAGAAGACGAGCCACTCACATGGAGCCTCGAAGACAGTCACTAAAAAGAAGACATTAGACAAGAAACATAGATCCATGGTCAACAGAGACACATAGATAGAAACATTACTAAGATGTTGGAGTTAACACTTAAACTGTTAGTACCAGACAGCACTAGAAGCCAGGTGGCAGTTACAGACACTAGCACTAGTTAACAAATTAATTTGAGATGAAGAACACAAGACGAGCTCAAGAGTAAGTAACCACAGAGTGAAGACAGCGGCCATTCAGAATATTATTGATATTGTTTGAGACATTACTAGGATGACAATAAAGACAGTATAGAAAAGAAGAGTAGTTTCAAGACATTTAGTTAAACAAGCATCAGTGACGTGAGAAGCCTGCAGCAAGTATGAGAGACTATCATTACCACCACTTTCCCGTGTGGGTTCCGGGGCCCCACTGTGGGGAAAACAAGAATAGACCCACTGCCTCCCCAAAAGCATGTCGTAAGAGTCGACTAATTGGGGAGCTTCCTTTGAAGTCGGAGTGCATCTGCCGGAGAGGCAAGGAACCAACAGTCTGTATTCAAGAGAATGAGATCTGTAAAACTGATGCACACGCAACACTCAGGTGCTGGAGCAGGACTGCAGTTCAGTAATGGACGAGCAACCAGAACCTTCCGCCAGAGTGTACAGCTGGTGAACGCGACGAAGAAGAAGAAGATCAACACCACTATCGACACAACCATCTTTCTGCTCATCTATGATCTTTCAGCTGATTCCTCCTGTAGCAAAACTAAAGACTAACCTGGGTGTGACATCAACGTACACACTGAAGACTGCTGTGCTACAGGAGTAAGGGAAAAAAGAAGGAAGAGGAAGAATACTACATGAGCTGAAATAAAAAGAAAAAAATCCTCTTACATGCCAATGGTGCATTGGGCTAATGAGGCTAGGCTCATCTTTTTTAGAACAAACGGCCCTCAGTGTGATGTGCTCAACATCACACGGGTGCTGGTCAATATCACAAGGGTGCTTTTACTTCCCAGGATTGGAATGACCTAGCAGCCAAGGCTATGTTTGAAGAAATCTGGCATGACCTTCAGATCCACAGGCGAGCATCTAGGTGCTACACCATGGTGCATCCCGAACTGAAAAAAACTGAGATAAAATATCCCTTTCCTTAATAATTTATTGCATTTAAGATTCTATATATGTACCTTTATCTAGCAAGAAAGCTAACACTGTTGTATGTCCCTCCCTCGCAGCCATCATGAGTGGTGTGCAGCCATGATGATCAGTTATTTGTAGGTCTGCACCACTAGCCACCAATAATTCACAGACTTCCCGGTGTCCACATTTGGCAGCACACAACAAAGGGGTGAAAAATCTGGCATTTGTAACTGTGATGTCCGCTCCTGAATCCAGCAGGAATTGAACACAGGTAATTCTCCCATGCAAGCAGGCAGCAGTCAGAGCTGTCAAAAATTATTATGCAAAGGTTTCATTTATTTAAAATAGGTTGAACTGTAGTAAAACTTTTTTTTTTTAAATTAAGCAACTTTAAGAAAAAAATGGAAGGTAAAAAAAAAAAAAATCTCAAGCAGATAAAACTAAGCATCAGAATATGATAAAAGAGAAAAAGAAAGAAGTAAGGATAACACTGAAAAAAGAGGAGCATGAACAGGAGGAAAAGAAATATACATAAGTTAAATCTTTGTGGACCTATCACCACTTTAGTGGCATCTGAATTCATCATATTTGGACAGATCGCCACTTAAACAGTGCAGGGACATAGAAACTTTAATGTTGTTTGATTTGATAGAAAGATTCATTTGTATGAACATGTTTTGAAAAACTAGAATTAGCCAAATGAAGTCTTTTCATTTTCGAAACTTGGCATGGTGAAATGGATGACTTTCTGATTTGTTTCAAATTTAATCAGTTCGATACAAATTTTGTGTGATTTTCCTGACAAAAAGTAAGGGGTTTTAAAATGTCTGTATTGCTGCTGTCTTTAATGAATCTGAGCCAGATAGTGACAATAGTCTTAAAATTATAATTAATAATGCAAGTGGGACACCTATTGCCGACAATACGGGCTGCCATAAAGTTGAACAAAATATTTCAAACTGATCACCCCTGTTTCGATCAGCTGGGTTCAGAATTTGGTTGTTGTGAGTTCCCAAAGGGCAGGGAACGGCAAAAGCCAGTAAAACGGTTGTACAAGCAAAACTCAGGTCCAGGTAAAAGCCAAAAGTCCAAGCAGATGAATAACCGTGACCTTCGGCCAGAATTCACAGCCGGTGAACGAAGAAGAAGAAGAAGGTTGTTGTGAAATTTGACATGTCACACAAACATTATCATAAAATCAAAAGTATTTAGATTAACAGTCTGAAATAAAGGCTAGCAGATGTACAACTGAATACAGAAGGCATGTGTATTCTCAGAAATGGATATTAGTGTTTCTGATCAAGTAAAAAAAGTAAGGTAAGTACAAAGGTCATGTGTAAAAACAAAAACATCAATGTCTAACGTCCTTGAATGTCATGTCATTTTAATATTTTACCTTTGCAATACTTATCCTAAATAATTTAGTTGTTTTCTGCTTTCATTTCAATTTAATTTGATTTATATGTCACTATACAGCCTATACTTTTTCTTCAGGAAGGTTTAAGATTTTTCATGTTTCAGTAAAACAAATTAAGCTCAAAATTAACACTGTCCAAACTTCAGAAAAAAAAATGCTATCCTGAAAGAGGTAAAACAGAGATAAAGGAAATAGTGACAAAGTGACATAGACTAAAATTAGGAGAAGAAAAAAAAAGAGACAAAATTAAAGATGTGAATATTAGAAGAGGAGATCGATAAGATTAAAGTACAAACAACAATACAACATTTTATTTATCGTATTGTAATTCACCTGTCTCACAGAGTAGTGAGTCCACCATGTTTAACCTTGACCCGTTGTATGTCTGATGAAGGTATTCAAGAATCTGAAATGACAAAAAATTTGCATTAAAAAAAAAAAAAAAAAAAAAAGAAAGATAACCACTAGTGCTACTGATGAATGCTGGACCATACACTGCTTCTTCTCATCATGCTGAACTCTTTGAGTCCTGATCAACACATGATGTGTGAACCACATTTCTGCTTAATATCCTTCTTGGCTTAATGTACTTTCTTACTTTTGTATTTGGTCAGAACGCACTCAAGAAATCTGGCTTGTATAGTGGTCACCAGGACTGTTATATCACCACTCTGAAAATTATTCCCTAATGAATTGTAATCATGGGTATATCTTTACTGACATCTGGGTCAAAACTATTTTCTTGTACTGAAATAGTTAACAGCAAAAGTGGAAGTTAATGATGAGGATAATGATGCTTACCTGTGTGTTTCCCATGGCAGCGGAAGCCACAAAGCATTGAGTGATAACTTCATCTTTTGTTATCTCATTTGGCTGGACGGTCCAGTTAAGATGCATAAAAAACTTGACAGCCTCTAGCTGTCCATGAAGGACAGCATGAATGGCAGCACTGTGCCCCTGTACATCCTGGGCTGATGGCTGAAATAAAAAGATCATAAGAAATTAGAATACATAGATCTATTGCCTCCCCATAGGCATGTCATAAGAGTTCACTAACTCGGGGCTTCCTTCGAAGTCGGAGTGCATCTCCCTGAGAAGCAAGAAATCAACAATCTGTATACAAATAGGTCAGGCCTGCAACAGACAGGTTCTGGAACAAAGTTATTTAGTTGCATATCCTTTACAGGACGTTGCAGAACCAACCCCAGCAGCCCCTGGCTGTTGTGTGGTTTCTCTAGGCAAATTTATGTCCAGTAGTTTGCGATTGCTTTCTGGAGAGTTGGCTCCCTGATACCACTGTCGAAACCAACGCAAGGCGCATGGCCGGCAGCTGGGATGGAACCCGGCTCCCCGGCATTACGAAGCGTTTGCATCGACTTAGCCACAGAGCCGACTCTGGAACAAGATTAAAGTCAAAAAGTGGATGAACAACCATAATTTTCCACCGGAGTTTACAGACGGTCAAGGCAAAGAAGAAGAAACAAGTGAACATGGCAATAAAACTAAACAGGAGGGCTAAATAAACAAGTTAGCCTGCAAACAGATTGTCCTGGTGTTGACCAGAAAAAGCTCAGACTGGTACAAATGATATTTAATTTTGTAATGTCAATATTTAAACCCCTCCCACCACCACCACCAGCACCCACCACCTTTCAAAACAAAACAAAAACTGGGGAATAAGACTCTGGACCTCTAGGACACAGACAAAACTCTTGTGTCCTTGGCCCCTTCTCATTTAGTTTAAGTCATACGGATATCATCTATGCTATCAAGATGTGTTATAGAAATATAAGAATATGTGAAAACTCAGTTAGGGAACAGTGGATCTATTTAGTTTTTTCCCCACAATGAGGTCTCAGAACCCACATTTGGAGACTGTCACCTCGACTTCATGACCTTTATCTGCCAGTAAATGTTTCTTCTTCGTCTTCTTTACGTCCTCTTTTATCTGGCTGCTTTGACCATCAACACATCATAATGCTTTAGAGTTTCTCCGATGTTATCTTCCCATCTTGTTTTTAGTCTGCCTCTTGCTCTACATCCTTCTCGTCTTTTCATATATGCCTTGTATGGTATAGCATCAGAAGGCATTCTCTCCAAGTAGGCAAACATTTGATTTGTCTTTGTATGCAATTTTGAATTGGTTCTGTGCCGACTTTTTCTCGAATGACCTAATTCCTGATTTTATCTCTTCTGGTCACTCCCAGTCTTTCCCAGACACTTCATTTCTATGGTTACTAATTATCATTTATGTTTTGTTGTGAGTGACCATGTCTGGCACTGACAGCATAGGGTGGGAATGAATATGTTTTGTATAAGATGTCTCTTTGTGCTGATTGGGATTGCCTTATGCTGTAAGAGGTGAGCTAGCTGTCCCAATACTTGGCCTGCCTTAATGCATGGGATGTTAATTTCTTCGTCCAATTTACCATCTTCAGTGAATGTTGTTCCAAGATATTTATACTCAGATGCCTGTTTAATATATGTATGCTCTAATGCTGTATTTAAATTCTGCCTCTTTCTTCCCATTGACATTACTTCCGTCTTTTTGATGTTGATTCTCATATTATTTGATTTACATTCTTCATTCATGAATGTGAGACCCTGTTGTATATTCATGGCTGTATCTGCAATCAAGGCCTGGTCATTAGTAAAGAGTAATTCATTATTGTTACTATTATTTTTGTTCCTGGGCTTGGACTCTTTGCATATACTGTCAATGTAACAGGAGTGGTGATAAGGCACATCCCTGCCTTACTTCAGATGTTACTTTGAATGGTTTAGATGTTCCTTGATTTATTCTAACTACGCTTTTACAATCTCCATATAAGCTTTTGCAAACTTCAATGAGGTGTTGACTTACTCCTTATTGAGCCATTACTTTCCATAATCGTGTGCCGATAGAGTGAATGTTTAACATGTACAAAGTTCATATGGGACCTCTCAAGTCATCATCACTGTCTTAGAAGGTTAGGCCTCTGATTTAAGAACCAAAATCAGGGAGGAGTTGGTCAATTTATTTTTATCTTCTTTTTCTTCATCTTCTACACTTTCACCAGCTGTAAACTCTGGCGGAAAACTCTGGGTGTTCGTCCACTGTGGGACTTTAGTCTTGCTCCAGAACCCAAGTGTGGCATTCACATCTGTTTCACTGATCTGGCTTATCTGTATGCAGACTTGTGGTCTCTTGCCTCTCAGGCAGGTGTACTCCAACTTCGAAAGATGTCTCCCCCAATCAGTCAACTACTACAACATGCTTGTTGTTGTTTGGGGGGTGGGGGGGGGGGAGCAGTTGGTCTATTCTTGTTTTCCCTCACACTGGAGACCCAGAACCCACACAGGGATGTTTATTTCAATAAAACGGCTGGGAGCTTTCTTTAGAAAAAGAAAATGAAGCAGAAAACTCACCCGTGCGTTATGCAGACATAGCATCCTCATGACCTCCACATGACCTCCAGCAGCTCCATGACACAATGGGCTCATCCCAGTGTCAGAGGTCATATTGGGGTCGGCACCAAACTCCAGTAATAAGGACAACATGTCGATATATCCCTCCCTGGCGGCAACACACAAGATGGGTGCATTGCCCAGATATTCAGTTCGTGAATTTGGGTTTCCGCCCGACATAAGTATCAGTCGGCTAACCTGAAATATGTAAATGAACATAGCAGTAAACTGTCTGTGTAAACAGATCAATAGTATCTATATAGAGGTTTGCAGGCCCTAACTCAAACTGGGTGATTTATACAAATAAAGAGCTCAGAGATTCTCTCTGCCCCCGGTGCCAGTCACCAGATAGTGCATCAACGAGATGTGTAAAAAAAAAAGCAGTTTATTGGCTCCTTCCTTTATGTGCATGACTACATGACACAAACATAAATCTACACATATTTATAAAGATGTGAGAATTCTACAAATGCAGCCACAACCATCCATTCTAAATTTTCCAAAGTGGAATCTGGGAGTAGGATATATTGACCAAAAAAAATCCCTTTTATAAGTGACATACAAAATACAACAGACATTTGAAGAAACTTTTCCTTACCTTCACATTAGGAGAGTATACATTTCTGTGAGACACCAGGGCAGCATTCAAACTGTGAGAGCTAAGACACATCCAGTAAGCCTGAACACTTTGAGATGAATAGCCAAGCTGGCGACTCACCGATTTATAAATGTGAGCTTTGAGAATGTGATGGCCAAGCTCTATGGTTTTGTCCGAGGGCAACGGTGCAGAAACTCTGGATAGTCGAAAAGCCATTAAAGCATGCCCATGGCTGTAAGAAATAATTTTTAAAAAAAATTGTTAACACTGAATACATGTCTGTTTTCTTCTTCTTATACTCCATACTATGTCTGTTGGTATTCATGTCTACCCATAGCCTTCTGTCTTTTGTACTTTCAATAAGTTCAGACACAGATGGTCTTCCATGCCATACTGTCAAACTATCCAGCATCTTCTCTCTCTGTCTCCCCCCTCAGATTTCCTACCGTCACGATGTACACCAGTTGTCTTCTCATGATATGACATGACCAAAGAATATAGATTGTCTTCTTCTGATGTTTGCAATTGGTTCTCTCTGTGAGTCAGTTTCTTTCAAGATATCTTCCTTACTCTTTTTATCTGTCCAGGGTATTCTCATCATTCCTCTTTAAAAAAAAAAAGTATCCCTACCACTTGCAAATAATTGTTCACTAATCATCCAACATGAATAACATGTCTCTTGTAAATCTAGCTTCTTCAGGCATCCTTCCGTGCATCCATCTAATCCATCCCTTCCATATCTTTCCCCAACTTTTCACCCATTCATCGTTTTAATTGTTAAAGCACATACAAGTATCTTATCAAAGCAGAACTTGTTCTTACTTTTAGACTGTGGAAATATATAATCACCACAAAGTCTGGCTTACTGCAATATGTGACCTCTGAGACACACGTATTAGTGGCCTATATATGAGAAACAACATATTTCACTAAAATACTCACCGGAGATCACAGAGAAACTTTGGAGAGTCGCCCTCATCCCGGTGAATCAACCATTCTCTAAAAGCAGGATGGAAGAACTTCACTGTGTTGTCATGGCAATGGTAAACAAACCCTGCCAGCATGTCCATTCGTTTGTAAAAAATCCTGCCAACTCAAATACTGATGCACATAACCAGAGTTCACAGTTAAGAATATCTCCACTAAATTCAGTGGGTACAAAGATGCCAAAAACACAGCAAGGATCGATGACACCCTCTCAAAGGCTCTCACACTTGAAAACTTCAGGTTAAAATGCAGTAGAAAGACTTCAGACAAGTTCACCGGTAAAATTGCGTAGCTGGAAGATTTTGGAATTAGATGGCCATTTTCAATCAGATCTAAAACAAGTTTGGCATACAAAAAACTGCCATTGCTCAAAGTTTGAACATGGGAAGTAAATTTAGATGTGAGTTCTTTGTTTGGACGTCCGTTAACAGAAATATTGGCTCTAACAGCTGAGCTGATGGATATTCGATGATCAATGTAGCTCTCAATATCTCTAGACACATGATCTGAACTATTTCCATGTTGATCCAAGCTGATTTGAGAAAATGGCAACGATGATGTAATTTCTTGAAATGAGGACTGTACAGTTACAACAAGTTTGAGCCAGTCAGGAAATTTGCAGGCATGATGGCACAAGAATGAGGCAATTGTGTCTCCATGATCTGGTTTGTGGAATTCTGCTTCATTCAGTGAGTCAACCAAAATGATACAGCAGTCAGTAAAGATTTTGCCAGCATTTTTCAGCATTTGTAGTGGCTCTAGAATTCCCTTGAGGAGTGACAGTGATGGATTCTGGGTACACTCTGGTATGCTGAGGATGGTTTGCAGTGATGGTTCCTGAAAGTAATAGTTTATTATTTTATTACTTTTTTTTTTAAAGCATGAATTAAAATGTATTTTTATTGGGTTTAAAGATAGTTTATAGCTATGTAAAGTTTAATGATTGTGTATAGTTCTACTGAGTTTAATGATAACTTATTATTCTACAGGGTTTAAAGATAGTTTATAGCTATGTAAAGTTTAATGATTGTGTATAGTTCTACTGAGTTTAATGATAACTTATTATTCTACAGGGTTTAAAGATAGTTTATAGCTATGTAAAGTTTAATGA